AAAAAAATAGAGCAAACTGAGTCTGGTCGCCAAACGAGACAAGGCACAAAAGAAGGTTTGGAAGTCCGGGGCAGGGCTCACGGCCGCGACTCTGAAAACTTCTGAACGAGCACATAATGCAACATCACCAAGCGCTCAATCGGTAACGTATAAGTCTTAAGGTCGGTCAAAAATGGGGTGTCTACAGTTGCCCCTCTTTGATAGAACTCGGAAGTCACAAGTGACGGGAGTGAATGTCAAAGCCCGAGAGGACCATTTTTGACAAGGCCGAAGACTTAGACCAACGTACAAGATAAACTGAGATGTGCCTGCAGGCAAAGGGGGCAAAATGCAAAGCGATATGCACAGAGCTGGAAGTAACTCAATGATCATGCAAATGCAGCAAGCTGTAATGAAGCAAGTATTCGCAAATAGATGCAACAATTTTAAGCAAGAATGCAAAGCAACAACTACATTCATGCAGTTAAGAATACGGAGAATTATTCAATCCCGGCCGCGTCTCACACGGAGAAGATACAATACCTGCGCGATTCGTCTGGTCGCACCAGCCTCAAATGAACCGTACATACAATATCGTGCCTGCAAAGAGAGAAATTCAACAAGCACAATATGCTACCAACATATATTCAATGTGATTCCGAAAGTTTGACACACGCAGTGCCGGTGAGGTGAATGCATCGCGATGCGAGAAAGGAACGTGCGTGTCAACGAATGCTCAAGCACAGAGGTATGGAAATATCAAGAAATATGCATAATAACGCAAGTGTGCTTCATGAGAATGCAAGTTATGTGCATGATAGTGCAAAACGAGCATAAATTAAGGTGCCCGTTTATTACGAAATAACGAGCACGGAAACGCGCGTTTCGGCAAAGGCGACTCGATTCACGGCCTCCAATTCACTTCCTGGAAAGGCTACCAACACATTCAAAAAGGATACATTTTCGATTTTGATGAATAATGATGAGACATATGTCAGAATTGGGAGCTGAAGTTCCGGCGGAGCAATTTCGCACAGAAAGTGCACTTTCCCTTGAACTTTTTTAGTCCTGGGAACTCCAATCTTCCTCAAAATTGCAGAGAGCTAGGTGAGCATGTGGGGACATGGCGGCTAGTTTTATGGAGAGGGGAGGTGGCCGCCTAGTTTTCAAAAAAGAGAATGGCGGCCAGCCAGAAAAGGTGGCCGGCCGGCCACCTGCCCAAATCCGTGGGCAATTCGGTCTTTCACTTTCTTTTCTTTATGCTCTCTCACCCAAACACTTTGAGCCTATAAATTCAGCCATGAAACCTTCTCCTCTTGCCTCCCAAACCCTTTTCTCCCTCAGATCTGAGCTCCATACGCGTTTTCCAACGCCCCACGCAAGTTGTTTCGCGAAAACATTCAGTTTCAAACACTTTGAACCGCATTAATTATTTTGTTTCGGGGCTTCTTTTTCTCATTTTCGCCACTTGACGGTGAGGTTTGTCTCAATATTTTGGAAGATTTTCTCAGGAGTTGACTTTTGTTGACTTTTTCATTTCCCGAGAGTTGACTTTTGTTGACTTTTCAATTTGGCATCATTTTTTGCTTATTTTTGTCTTTTGCAGGTTTTTCGAAATGGCGGGTAATTTTCCTCATGTGGAGGTTTTTCGGGTGCCGGGATGATTTTGAGTCATGACTTTGCCTCTCGAGGGTTCGACCCTTTATTCCCGGGAGGTTATGCTCCGCCGGCACATGTCCTTTCCCGGGCCGTTTTTCGTCATTTTACTGATTTTGATGATCGAGCACCTGGGGATCTACTTCTGCGAGAGCCAGAGCATCACCTCTCCTATGAGGCACGAGAGGTATTTACTTCATTTTCTGCATTTTCGTGATTTCGTGCCTTTGCCATGCTTGAAACACACAGTTTAGCTTTTGACATTAGTACTTGTTTGCATCCTAACATGTAGTTTAAACACTTGATTTCTGAACACTCGGCTCATTAATTTATACGAACGCAACGACACACATTAGTTAAGAAGTGGGACACACGGCTCAAACACTGATTTATCGAACACACAGCTCGAATTTGAAGAGGTGAACACACAGCACACACTGATAAGAGTAGAACACGCAGCCCCAAACTCTGATTTTTGAACACGCAGGCCTCAAATGATAGTGAACACATAGCCCACACTGATTTAAGAGTAGAACACGCAGCCCAAAACTCTGATTTTCTGAACACACAGCCCAGATTAGATGGTGAACACACAGCCCACACTGACTAAAGAGTAGAACACGCAGCCCAAACTCTAGATTTTACTGAACACGCGGCCCCAAATTTGTTTGTGAACACGCAGCCCACATTGATTAGAGTAGAACACGCAAGCCCAAACTCTGATTTTCTGAACACGCAGCCCAAATTGAAGGTGAACACACAGCCCACACTGACTAAGAGTTAGAACACGCAGCCCAAACTCTGATTTTCTGAACACGCAGCCAAATTTGATTGTGAACACGCAGACCACATTGATTAAGAGTGTAGAACACGCAGGCCCAAACTTTTATGATTTCTGGAACACCGCGAGCCCAAATTTGATTGTGAACACGCAGCCCAAACATTGATTAAGATGAACATGCAGCTCAAACTCTGTTTTCTGAACACGCGCCCAAATTGAAGGTGAACCACCGCAGTCCACACTTGATTTCTGAAAATCTGAAACACGCAAGCCAAATTTGATTGTGAACACGCCAGTGCCCACATTTGATTAAAAGTTGAACACGCAAGCCTAAACCTTTTAATTTTCTGAAATTTGAACACGCAGCCCAAATTTGAATTGTGAACACACGGCCCCACATTTGATTGAAAGTTGAACACGCAGCCCAAAACTTCAATTCCTGAAATCTGAACCCCACAGCCCACAATTTTGATTGTGAACACGCCAGCCCACATTTGGATTAAAAGTTGAACACCGCAGCCCAAACTTTAATTTTCTGAAATCTGAAAAGCAGCCCAAATTTGATGTGAACACGCAGCCCACATTTGATTGTGAAATGAACACGCCAGCCTAAAACTTTTAATTTTCTAAACTCTGAACACGCAGTCCCAACTTCTATTGTGCAACACGCAGCCCACATTGATTTAAAAGTTTGCAACACGCAGCCCAAACTTTAATTTTCAAATCTGGGAACACGCA